ACACAAATATACCTTTTATATAAATAAACCATAAACTATAGATTTTAATTTTGAACTCAATTCTAGTTGCCCTGTCTCTTCATGCTCTCCTCCTGTTTGCTCTGGTGTGGCTGGTTAAGTGAATGACATACGTAGTCCGTGACGGACAGATCGTTAACGGCTGGTCTTTGTGGTAATACAGTACATCCGGCAGGACATGGCTTTTTATCAAAGATATATGTAGTAACAACTTTACATGACCGCTCAATCTAATGTTAACGTAGAGAAATGTGCGCTATTCAAGTGTGTGTGTGGAGTGTGGAGCTGAACAGTAGCTCACTACGGGACAGATGGAGGCGCCGGTGCGCTCACTTGCTCTTAAAATACTCCGTAATTTTTGGTCATGCAGATAAAAGTAATACATCTTTCGAATCTGTAAAGACTCTACGTTTATTTGTGTGCACTCAGAATAACAACGAAATGTTGCACTTCTGTAAAATAATTAAAGCAAACAGGATGCGCTTTCTGCCGTCTCGGTCTCTGTGAACTTGAGCGAGAAACTTCGAAACTCTGTGTATTCAATTCAATTCAATTCAAGTTTATTTGTATAGCGCTTTTCACGATACAAATCGTTGCAAAGCAGCTGTACAATATATGTTTCTACAATATATTTAGTAGTAGCTTATCAGTGGTGACTATGTCAGTAAATGTACATATGGCAGAAATGTACGGAAAAATCAATTAAAGACGTAATCAAACAGACTATGAACACTATTAACAGCAATTATTATATATGAAAAATATATCTATAGAGAGTGAAATGTCTACTTTCAAATTAAAAATGAAATAGAAAACGTGTGTGTTAGCATGGATGACTTACATGAAATTTAATGTGTGTGCAATGCACACTGTGCATTGTTTAAGCTGGCTTTCAGTTCAATAAAATAACAAAAAAACTACATCCGTCCATCCATTCATCCAACCATCCATCCAACCATCCATCTATCCATCTATCCATCCGTCTGTCCATCCATCATCCATCCATCCATCCATCCATCCATCTATCCGTCTGTCCATCCATCATCCATCCATTCATCCAACCATCCATCCATCCATCAATCCACCCAT